CCCATCCATCAACCCTTCAACTTCAACAAAATATGAAGACTTACACTCCTCATTCCCAGCGGTAGTTAGGGATTTATTTTCCCAATCCGACAACACTACAACAGAACAACTTGCATGCACATACATCACATCCAGGCATCGTGAGAAGCGATGGCACAAATGCATATATCACCATCTCATTGCACTATGAATTTCATACATCATAGCATTACATACAAATAACTCTTCGCCTTTTTCAGGAAGGATCAAACCACATAAAATTTATTGTCAACAAGACAAGGAAAATATCTCTAAACAAATCAATCGTAGATTCCCGAGTCAAGACGGGTGACTATCTATATGACAGTTACTTCCTCTAGAATTCTGTTGGTTCAGTTTAAATCTCTCAACGGTTTATCCTGATTCTTTCCCGCAGACATCTTTCTTTGGTTCAGATAAGTTGCTCGAAGATTTATTCTGATTCTTCTCCAAACCACTGCTGGTTTAGTTTAAATCTCTCAACGGTTATCCCGATTCTTTCCTGCAGACATCTTTCTCTGGTTCAGATAAGTCGCTCCAAGATTTATTTTGATTCTTCTCCAGACCACTACTGGTTCATTTTAAATCTCTCAACGGTTTATCCTGATTCTTTCTCGCAGACATCTTCTCTGGTTTAGATAAGTCGCTCCAAGATTTATTCTGATTCTTCTCCGGACCATTGCTGGTTCAGTTTAAATCTCTCAAAGGTTTATCCTGATTCTTTCCCACAGACATCTTCTCTGGTTTAGATAAGTCGCTCTAAGATTTATTATAATTCTTCTCTGGACCACTGTTGGTTCAGTTTAAATCTCTCAACGGCTTATCCTGATTCTTTCCCGCAGACATCTTCTCTGGTTCAGATAAGTCGCTCCAAGATTTATTTTGATTCTTCTCCAAACCTCTACTAGTTCAGTTTAAATCTCTCAACGGTTTATCCTGATTCTTTCTGGTAGATATTTCTTCTGGTTTAGATAAATTACTCAAAGATTTATTCTGATTCTTTTCCAGTTGAAGTCAAGTTTAGACTTAGTCTAATTTCCATCAACAATCACCTTCGGATGGCATCTTTTAAGCCCATTCCCTACACAATCAACCATGACATCATCAAATGCAAATTTCTGGCCACTCTAGTGTTCAATCATCTTCCACCTTCAAGTCACGAATGACAGATTTACCAATCTAATTCTTCAAGCGTAAGAAGATTGAACATGGGCAGCTATTATACCCTGAAATTTGCCCTCTCATTTCTCAAAGGATCATCATGAACCCTCAGGTTGGCTTCCATCCAATTCCAAGCCTTGAATTATAAATTTTCCAAGAAAGTCATTCACAAGGGCAAAATGGTCATTTGCATACTTAAAAGTCAAACTTTGACTTTTGGATCAAAGTCAAGTTTCAAGAATCATATTTTATCAAGACATGTTGAAATATGAAGTTTGTTTCATCAAGAAATTCAAAAGTCAAAATTACTTTGGAAAAGTCAAAATTCTAAATACTTAGAATTTTTATAAGTGTTTAAGAAATATGACAAGCTCAGAATTTCTGACCAAATTTTCACCATGATGCAAGCTGATTTTGGAAGAACTTCTAACACAAGAATTTTAGATCTCAATGAGACCTAAAACATTGCAGAACAAAACATCTTCTAGAAATGTTGGGATTTCAAGTTATACGTCTTCAAAGACACGTCCCTGAAACTTAAACACTTATTAAATTATGAGCATTTTCAAATAAGAATTTGGTTACAATTTCTGAGCCAGTTTTCACGTAGGTTCAGTCAGAATTTACAAGATCAATTCAAAGAGGGGTTACAAATCATGTTATAGGCTGTCTGGAAAATCTGAGAACTCACTCAGAACATGCTTAAGCAAAGAAATTAAAGGATCAGAAGTTGGATGTTGGTTCTAAGTTGCGTTGATGTTGAACTTCTGACATAGATTTAAGCTATGATGCATAATCTCACATTGCAGGATTTCTGGTTGTTAAATCTCATCATCATTTAATGCTCACAACCACTTTTGAGTTTTTATCCAAAGGATTTCCCCACGTGTAGCATAGAAGTACATTGTTGTCCTTGAAAAAGAAAACTTTTGTACAAAGAGTATGCTGGGGCCATGCTTTGCTTTTGCTTCTGAGGGTACTTTTCCTTAATTCATGCTTACAAATCCAGCTTAGGCATGGCTAAAAGCTGCTAACCACCATACTTGTTTAACTTGCTTCAAGAACAAGCCAGCATGCTAGCATGATGGTGGTACTCTTGACTTCTCCAAGCTACAAAGTTCTTGCCTATAAATTGAACTTCATTTGCAACTGTAAAGGGGCTGGTCGAAAAAATTGAAAAGAAAAAGCTTTGAAACCTTGCTAAAAATTCCAGGAATCTAAAACTGCAAGCACAAAACAAAACCTGCTAGTTTTTTATTCTTGCATTCAAACTCCAATTTCCCTCAAGTGTTTCTTGACCAAATCATCCATACAACTTCTAGTATACATTTAGAAGCCATCCTAACTTCTGTTTTCATACTGTAACACGTTCTCCATCAATCTCCACCTCAAAAAGTCAGAACTTTGCTTCTTGGCTGTTCCAGAATTTTCCAGCCATTCATAACCCAAGTTAAAGGTTGTTCCAGTCTGTTGAACACGTGAGGAAGCTGATCAGAACATTACAAGCAGACAGAACCAGGATCCAGTTCACTGGACCTTTTCTAGCTTCAAGGTAAGCTTCTTTTGACTCTCATCATATCACTTAGGCATTATTAAACTTGCATGTCCAAAATACAATGCAAACATCATGATTCTGATGCTGTACATATTCTGAGGTTTCATGTATTTGTCTGCCTAAGTAGGGAAAACACCAGTTCATAACTTCTTAAGGAAACTAGGATTAGCAGATACATGCTTGTTTCTGGTTTACATTCTTGACATTTTTTATGTTTCTGAAACCATGATGGAAACCTGCCATAATTGCTATGTTTGTGTTTTCTGTTCTGTTAAGAAATGACTAAGTTGTAGATGTTATGATTAGCTTGAAGAAAGAGATGGAATTTATCATCAGAGTCTACTTTTTAATACATGTTTATGCTTTTGCTTCTAATACCGGATGTACAGCTACCCTAGTGGTAGACAATGTGTGTGCATAAGACATTAGTGCTAGGGGTCCTGGGTTCTAGCCCCAGAAGCATCTTTTTAGGTTTATTTAGTGACATTTTCACCCATTTATCTGTCAAACAATATTCCTAAATCATAACTTCTAGACAACCTTACCCAACAACATTATCACCTCACTCCCTCAAATAGCCAGAACTTCTGATCTGCCAGTGACATTAGATCTTCTAGATTTCCAGCTGTACCAGAGTTCCTAGACTCCCTCAACAATCAGAACTTTTAGATTTTTCTTTATTCCCAACAACCTCAGAACTTGGTGTACCCAGACCCAGAACTTTTGACCTTTTACTTTCCTACTAACATTTTCTCTCTTGCATCGTATCAGAGTCAGAACTTTTGTTCCTTCTCGCTTCAGCAATGTGCTGATTCTGACTCCTTTTTTTTCTCTTATTTATCTTATTTTAGCTTTTAATAAACAAAAACATTTTATATTTACATACTTTATTTTATCCCTTTTAAAACTCAAAGATCAAAAATGTTTTCTTTAGCAAACTTATTTCTTTTCTTAACAAAAACAAGACTATTCCATTTTTACATTTCTTGTACATTTTTTCAATATGGTTGTAATAGATAACTAGGACTTTAATTTCTCGCAATCTCCATTGTAAATTTGTACACCCCATCCCCTTAATCATGTAATAGCATAGGACTTTAATTTCCGCGTTTTTATTGCTTTCATATATTGCTAGTAATTAGGTGTATATGGAAAGATAAAAAGAATAATTAGACAACCCAAAAATCAAAGAATAAATGCATGAAATCAAATACACTTTGCACACATGCACCCCTTAGGGTAGTCTCACTTCTTGCCTCATAAAAATAGTCATGTCCCTCGAACATGGGTGTTTTAGCAAAGACCCTCGATAAAAGATCGTAGTCCCTCGATGTCCCTCGATGTTTCCTTCGGTAAATGATCTAGTCCCTAAACGACATTGCTAAAATGTCCCATAGGTTGCCTTCTATGACTATATAAACTTCCTACGCCCGTCCCTTCACATCCAACGACGGGACTTCTTACCGAAACAATGGTGAGATAACATCATCTAAAGGAGGAGGAAATAACATTTAAGACCTTTTGAGTAGGTAGATTTGCTCCTAGTTGCTCGCTTGCTCACAACAAAAACATTTTTATACACCAACACACTCATTTGAAACAGTTTCAAAAGACAAACACTTTGTACACGTTCTTATAGAAACTAGAGCCATTACAAAGAAGACACATTTTCAAAATCTCTTTCAAAAAACACATTCCACAAACACCTCTTTGAGTTATTTTTTGAAACAACTCTTTGTACACGCTCTTATAGAAACGAGAACCATTACAAAGAATTTTCAAAATACTTTCAAAACCCACATCACAAGCACACTTTCAAACAAAAGCAAGTGATCTAGCAAGCAACTAAGAGCCCGTAGATAACTACAGATGAAAAGGGTGATAATACCTTCCCTTTTCATAATCTACCCCCCGAACTCAAGAAAACATCTCTAAAGGTCTTTCCTATTCTTTTCAGCCTTTCCTTTTGGATAAAAGAAAATTCGGTAGCGACTCTTGCTATCCACAACATTTGAAATCAAACGCAAAACACCCAAGTCAATTCTCCCACCGTATCAGTCTCCATCTCTCAGGTCTGCCATTTTCTAAAACCATATTTCTTCATCATTTTCTTTTGTGTTCCTTTCTGATTTCTTCTTCATTTCTTCCATTTTCCATCCTCTTCCATTTTCAATTTAGGTTTGAAGCAAGTTTTTATGAATAAAAAAAGGTAACTCACAGATATTAAATCGAAGATGGATGGGGTGACGCTATTGGGCATAAAGTAATGCAAGCTAACATTGATGGTGAACTGAATTTCGCTAGTGATGGATGCTTGGATATTGTTGAACATGACAACACAATTGTTGATGAAGATTCTGAGTTTGAAGAAGTTGAATACGTTGATGAAGATGCAAATGAAGATGGTGAATTTGACGGAGGTGAATACGATGATACGATGATGAAGATGCGAATGAAGATTGTGAGTTTGATGGAGGTGAATATAATGACGTGAGCGGTTCTGGTGATCTTGGTGGACACAGATATTGGAATACATATGGAAGTGATGGGGAAGGTTTAGGATGGAGTTCAGATAATTTGAATGAATTGATATTTTCATGATCAAAATCTAGACGAATCTCTTGTTGTTGACAACATTGCAAATATGGACATGTTTAACTTGCAAAATGATGATGTTTCGAAGCTACAATTGGAAGTCTGGAAATTGCTTACAAGTTTTACTGTTGATTTGCAAAGATGAACGATTTCGTGGTCCGTAAAGGTCAAGTTATTAAAAAAATAAGAAGATGTTGTTCAACAAACATTTGTTTGTAACCTTGAAGGATTTAGGCAAGACATAGTAGAGCATCACAAGCATGGTCTGCAGCACGAAACACGGTGTGGATGTGGAGCAAAATTTCAGGTTCATATTGATATAATTTCACATTGTTGGTATGTCATAGTTTTTACCTTTGAGCACAATCATGAATTATTAAAGGAGAAGCACTGCATGTTGTTGGAAGGTAATAGGAAGCTTAGTAAGTCAGATAAGATACAATTAAGAATTTTGGGAATGCAGGAATCAAAGTAACTCAAATGATTGGTTCATTCGCAAATGTTGTCGGGGGTATGATAAGGTAGGATTTTTGAAGAAGGACGTACATAATCAAATTGCAAGACATAATAAAGAGATGTCTTCTGATGATAAAGGTGTTGTTAGGTATCTTATTAATCTTTGTGTTAAAGATCCATTGATGTTTATTGCACACACGGTGGGTGCGGATGTAACGTTGCAAAATCTATTTTGGAGCGATGGTGAAAGTCAAAAGAATTATGAATTGTTTGGCGATGTGCTTGCTTTCGATGCTACATACAAGAAAAATAAGTACAGGTTCCCCTTTGTTATTTTTTCTGGTGTTAATCACCATAACTAGACAATTATATTTGTTACTGCCATAGTTTCAAATGAGGTCGAAGGGATGTATGTATGGTTCCTGGAGAAGTTTTTGGTTTCAAAAAAAGGTAAGACACCAATATCTGTAATAACGGGTAGTGATGTTGCTATGGGAAACGCAATCAGCAAAGTCTTTCCAACCAGTTACCATAGGTTATGTGCATGACATCTCCTACGAAATGCAAAGTCCAACATTGGCAATCCCAATTTCATCCCTATTTTTAAAAAATGCATGCTTGGTGATCATGATGTTTGGAAATTTGACAATTTGTGGAATGAAATAGTAGACGGGTTTGGTTTAGAGGAGAACAATTGGATCATTGAATTGTACCAGAAAAGGAAGATGTGGGAAATAACTCATATTCGTGGAAATTTATTTGCAGGAATAAGAACGATGTCGCAGTGTGATGAATTTCATAGTGTTGCACCCCAAAATTTTCCCTCTCATTTACCAAGATTATTCTCACAAGATCTCTTTGACTCAAGACTGGATTAGGGTTTGACCAGCTCAAGACCTCTCATCATGCATTGATCACCCAAAATTAGGGTTTGAGATTGTACAACTATTTTTGGACTATCAATGATTCATATGAATTTCAAACATCATTATGGACCCCTAAGATTACTCATGACAAGTTTCAAGCCTTGAACCCCATTTTTGATCAGTCAATTAGACAGTTCACCTAAAAATCAGTTGTATTAGGGAAAAAGTCAACCATGGCCAATTTACAGTCAAACTTCATACTTTTTTATCCACATCAACATTTTAGACTCATATGTATCATTTGATCAAGTTTGGACCACAATTCCTCAAGAAATTTGATCAAATCATCAAAAGGGCAAAATGGTCAAAATTAGGGTTTTGATTGAGAAAGGGCAATTTCTAATTTTTGACTTGGAAAATGACCAATTGATTTGAAGCATGATTTCAAGGATTCAATTGTATCATCTTGACCTAATGACATAGTTCAAAACATTGCAATTTCATTGGATTGACAGATGAAATTTGCAGTCAACCGATCAAAAAGTCAACTGTATACTAAAAAGGCAAACTTTGACTTTTTGGTCAAAATCAAGTGCCAAGGATCACAATTCATCAAAACATGTCAAAATGTGAGACTTGTTCATTAATAAATCAAATATTGAAGATTTGGTTTTGAAATTTGAAATTTTCTTAACTTAGAAATTTTTCTAAGTATAGAAAATTTCTTATTTTTTCTCAAATTTTAAGCCAATTTTCTACCATGATACAAGATGATTCAAAGAAAGTTCCCAACATGAAAGTTGTATATCTCCTTGAAATCTAAAACTTTGCTTCACACATTTTCTCCTAAATATGCTTAGATCTCAAGATATAATTTTGTGAATACATGCTCATGAACTAAAATAACTTAGTGAAATTTTGCCCTAATTTAGGCAGGTTTTTTACCTAACTTCATGGAAATTTTTCACCTAGTTCCAAGAGGAATATTGAAATACATTTCAAAGATGAATTATAGAGAACATTTCAAGCTTTCCAAAATATCCAAGAACTCCTTGAGATCATTCTTGAGTAGGGAGAATCGAAGAGAGGAAGTTGGCAATTTCTCACTTTGATTTCAAGCCATTTCATGAAGAACAAAATTCAAATCTGAACCTATGTTGCCTAATCCTTGCTTTACAGGTCTCAAACTTGTTTCTCACTTCATATTTAATGCTTATACAGATGATAAATTCTTAATCCAAGCACAAGAGTCTTTGTCCAAGCTTAAATTCCATAAATGGCATAAAGTTGCCATTGCCATTTTAGAAAAGCATAACTTTTGCAACTTTTCACTTCTTGAGCATTGGACCTATTTTCTCTGCACACATAAGTCCTATAAACCAAGAGCGAGTTGTCTAGGACTTGTACCAACTCCAATCAGGCATGTACAAGCATGTAGAGACTTGTCTCCTCACTTTACTTCAAAAGCAAGAAAAGTGCAAAAAGCCTATAACTCAAAAATCTGTTGTGGAGCTGACTAAAAACTTTCTATATACTTATACACAAACACATTACAACTTAGAGGAGGATTGCTCAAGTCTAGAAACTCTCTAAAACTCCCTATCACCAAAAAACTGTCAAAACTTGCAGTTTGAAACCAAGCATAGCAATCTACAAATTTACTCATGTGTTTCAAGTTTTAATCACTCAAACACCTTACCTACCTCATATCTAAGTGTTCCAGACCATCATACCTTCACTGTAACTCCTCCTTCTTCATCTGCCATTTTTGTTTTTTAAGCTTGCAGGTTGACTTGGATAGAGAGATTCAGGCACTTTCCAAGCAAGGCAAGGATTGGAACACACTCAGGGAGGTTCAGGCAAGCTAAAGGAATCTTCAGGGCTTCATAAATCTCAATCAAACTCCATTCACGATCTCAGCTGAAAGAGGTAAGAACTCCAACTTTTATCTCTTCATACAGGCATCCATTGGCCATGATTTGTGAAAGGAAAATGTAGATATTATTGTGCTAAAGCCAACCATGTGCATAAATTTCATTTCTGTTCATTATGTATAGAGAATTTTAGAGTTCAAATTTATGTAAAAGTTAGGGTTAAAATTAGGGCCATTAAAATTCACTTTGATCTTTGATTGTTAGTTTACATGAGTTACATGGTTGAAATCATGGGAAAGAGTATTATCATTTTCATGTTGGAAGTTTCCATTTTCATGGAGAAATGAGAAAGATACAGAGGTTCTGGCTAACTTGAGGAAGAAGATGAAGTACAGGGCAATGGGGCTTTATGTGTTATGTTTTTCTTGTTTCATTTAAACTAACAGATGTACAACCACCCCAGTGGTAAGGCAGCGCGCTAAAATGCTTAAGGTCACAGGTTCGAGCCTTGGCGCTGCCTTTTTTCATTTTTTTCACATTTTTTCATCCATTTTTTGGGTGTTTGCAGCGTGGGCTTCAACATTTGGGCCTTGTGTTTTTTTTCTAACATGCTATTTCCTGATTACTCAGGGCACCCTTGGCCCAACTATTTTCATTTATTTATTTTATGTTATTTTATTTCATTAAATATATTTTTCTTAAATATTAAAAATCATAAAAAATATAAAAATGATAAATATTATATTTTGTTGATTTGATTTTATTTTTTCATAAGAAATATATTTTTTAAGTTATGTATTAACTATTTTTCCCTAATAAACTTGTAAATAAAAAACAGAATTAGGTTAATTATTTATTCTTTTTCTCACACTTATAAATATTTATTTTAACATAAGAAAAGACTAAATATTTCACAAAATATTATCTATTATTTTTAATACAAAAATACACAAAAAATAATACTTAGAGAACTTTATCTTCTTTTTAAATTAGAAATTAAGGTTAACCCTTTTTTTAAGAAATAATTTCCTTTTCTTAAGATATTAGGATTAGGTCAAAATTCTTTTGCATATGAAAAACAAAGCAAATTTATTTTCCTTGCATACATATAACATTGCATATTTAAATTATATTATATATTGTTTATTCAAATACTTGTACAAATTCTATTTGGTTGTAATAGATTAAATTAGGTTTACATTATTGTAAATCCTCATTCACAATTTGTATTCCCCCCTCCCATAAAATGTTGTAATAGCGTAGTAATCTTTAAATTACGCAATTTACCGCTTTTATATACCATGCTAGTAATTAGGGTTTGTATGGCAAAATAAAAACAAATCAAATAGAAAAACCCTAATCCAAGACAAAATCAAGTATGAAAATAACACACTTACACACAAGCACCCTTAGGGTTTCTCCACTTGGTTGCCTTATACAAAAAATGGCCATATTACGCATGCGAAGTATCTTGGCAAAAACAAACAAATATAAGATCATAGTCCCTCGATGACGCTATTCTAATTTGCCTTACAAAATGATCTTAGTCCCTCAAAAATGCTAAGATACTTTGCAACATTGCTAATCATGGTTATACGACGACCCACGCCCGTCCCATTTACATCCAAAGATAGGGTTGCTTACCAAATCAATGGTAAGACAACAATGTCAAAGGAATAGAAAATAAACAAGAAAGAAATTTGAGTAGGTATATTACTTCTAGTTACTTGCTCCATTTCAAAACAACTATCCTTGCTATTTTCCAAAACACACACATTTCAAAAACATCTTACAAATAATTGAAAATATTTTCAAAAAGACAAACATCTTTGTATACATTCTTACGATCGAGAATCATTACAAAGATTGCCTAAACAATGGCCTCTTTTACAAAATACTTTCAAAACCACACCAAGCACAATTTCAAACAACAAAAGCAAGTGATCTAG